GGGGGGGGGAGGAGGGGGCGGGTACCTTCGTCGGGGGCGTGGTAGGCTGCCAGCGCGTTCAGCATGTCGTAGATCACCTCCTTGATGGGGTCGGGGATGACGGGCAGGGCCGACGGCTTCACCGGCGTCGTCTTCACCAGCTGCACCGCGTTGGGGCCCTTGATCCGCAAGTTCTCGAACTCGTCGTCCGATGCTCCCAAGGGGAGAGAAAGGGAAGCAAAATAGAACCCAGGAGTCCGGGCTCCCAGTCCCCCCTGCTATCACCCACCAGCCCTCACCCCCTCCCAGAGCCGGGAGAGAACCCAGGAGTTCTGGCTCCCAGGCCTGTCCAGTCCAGGCAGGGGGAGCCAGGCGGTCTCTGCGCCCCACTTACCGGTGCCCGAGCCGCGGGGGGCGGGCAGGGCGATGCGGATGCAGCCGTTGGCCACCTCGGTGAAGATCTCTGGGTTGCGGCAAGCGGCCGGGCCCAGCACGCGCAGGATGTAGTTGATCTCACGGGAGCCCAGGCTGCCCGACACCACCCCGGAGGTGGTGCTGCCCGCGCCGCTGGTGGCCGCCGAGCGCACAACCTATGGGGGAGGGGGGGGGGAGAGGCCACAATGCAGCAGCTGGGGGGGGGCACGGTCCCGTGGCACCCACCTTCTCCCTGGTGTTCCAAGGGCCCACGGGGTCACAGCAAGCGAGGCCAGGGGCACCCACCATCCTCCTGGCATCTGGGGGCACCCACCACTGCCTAGGAGCCTGGGCAGTGACAGGGGCCAGCAGCACCCACCCTCTCTCCAGGGGCCCATGAGGTGACGGGGTGGGGCCGGCAGCACCCACCGTGTCCCAGTGGCCTGGGCCGGCAGCACCCACCGTGTCCCAGTGGCCCGCGCAGTGGCCCGGGCCGGCAGCACCCACCTTCTCCATGGTGTGGCGCAGGGTGCAGGGCTCCTCGATGACGTGCCGGAAGAGCAGGGTGACGAGGGGCGTGAAGCCGTTGAAGCCGGAGCTCTGGGTCAGGCTGAGGATCACGCGGGTGCTGCGGAGCTCGGCGAACATCAGGGCGTACTTGTGGTGGCGCGTCAGACGCAGGCAGAGGCGCAGGGTGGCGTGCAGCGTGTCGGGGTCCACCGGCACCCCCAGCATGCTCACGCAGGCCCGGATCAGCACCGTCACCATCTCCTCCGTCAGCCCCTCGATCAGGATCTCGGCCGCCTTCGGCTCCTCGGGGGCCGCCTCCTTCTCGGGGGGCAGGGGCTCCGTGGGCACTGGGGCCTCTGGGCGGCAGAGCACATTGGGGATGGCAGCTGCCCCTCACTCCCGACCCACAGCCCCGGGCTCCCCCAGTGCCCCTCACTCCCGACGGGCAGCCCCACTAGCGCAGCCCTGGGCTCCGCCCAGCTCTGCCGGTGCCCGTCACTCCTGACCCGCAGCCCCCCCCCGCAGCCCCGCCGTGGGCTC